TTCATAACCTAGGGGCTGTGTGTATCACTAGGAGTGGCTCTTGCCTCCCCTACCTGTCTGAAATTCAGCAATGCCCCTGTCACCTCTGGAAATACTTTTAAGTCACTTGCTGACAATTCAAAGCATGTAAAGATCCATACAGCTATGGCTAAAAGGGTCACAGAATAGCTTTAAGTAGCTGTGACACAACCCAGGAACAAACATATCAGTGACTGAAGACACGGTTAGCCTCATGGAGCTAATGAATGGTTGATCCTCATGGTATCTGTGTTAGTTATCAGTATTGGTGTAATGAGTTACCCCAGAACTCAGGTGCTGAAAATCACAATGAATGTCATCTAGCTGTCAGTTTGGATCAGAAATTTGGGGGTGGTTCAACCAAGTGGTTCTGGCTGAGTGTCTCCTTTGAGGCTGCAGGCTGGTGCCAGCTGGGCCTTCTGCATGACCTGCTGCTCTCACAGGTGTATCTAGTGATGTCGGCTGTTGACTGGAGGATTAGTTCCTCATCACTGGGCCTCTCCAAAGGTGGCTTGAGTGACCTCACAACATGGCCACTGATTTTCCTCAGAGCACAAGATCCAAGATAGAGCTAGGTGGAAGCTGCATGTCTTCTGTGACCTAACCTCAGAAGTCACATTCTGATCATTTCTGATGTGTCCTATTGGTTACAAAGGTCAGCCACATGCAGGGTGAGAAGACTCTGGAGGGGCATGAATCCCAGGAGGTAGGGTCACTCTGTGTGAGACAAAGGATTGGTGGAGAAGGGCTCAACCACCTTCCTTTCTCTGACTAATTGCTAATTGCCTAGTATATGCTTGTAGCATGAAATTAAATTCATAAAACGTATTTAGGGTCCTAAAGTAACTTTTCTATTACTTGGTTACACAATCAACACCAATGGAAACAATAGTCAGGAAATCAGATGAAGTATTACACTGGGCAAATCTGCTGCAAAAGATCTCTTAAAAGTGCTGAGGAGCAAAGATGTCTCTTTGAAGACTAAGGTGCACCTGACCCAAGCCATCATATTTTCAGTAGCCTCATATACATGTGAAAGCTGGACAATGCATAAGGAAGACCAAAGAAGAGTTGATGCTTTTGAGTTGTGGTGCTGGTGAAGAATACTGAAAGCCATGGACTGCTAAAAGAACTAACAAATTTTTTCTGGAAGAAGTGCAGCCAGAATGCTCCTTGGAAGTGAGAATGG